AGGTTTTTTTCCAGATTTCCTCCCACCCCCAGGTTTTTAAAAAAAAAACCCAAACCTCAGTTCCTCCTGGGGGGGGTTTTTTTTTTTTTCCCCCCTTTTTTTCCCCCAATTTTTTTTTGGAAAACGGCCCCCCCCCCCAAAAAAATTTTTTCCGGACTGGAGGATTGGGCCCCCCTTTTTTTGGGGGGGAAACCCCCCCCCCCCCCCCCCCCCCCCGTGTGTGATGGAATCGATGCCACCGCAGGGGAGCCAAATACGAAGTAAATAGTAAATAGCACGCTGCTGCTGGCGGGAGGCTGCCTCTTCGGAAATACAACACGAAACAGTAGTAGCACGACACCATTCCATGGGGCAAAACAACAGCAATTATCCACAAGCAGCAACACAAAACTTGTTCAACGACAAGCAAGTCCGTCTTACACTACGCCAGCCCGGACATTAATAGCCCACTACAAAATACTCGAGCTATTCTAATAAGAAAGGCATTTCCCTCTCTCCCCCATCGGTCATGCGGGTAAGGGCACACCACCCTTCCGTGGCCCCGGGTTATCATTCCGAGGAGGCTCGCCCGCGCTATCGCTAGTGCCGCTCGGTGAGGGTCTACGCATGGCAGCCGCGGGGCCGGCCGAAGCCGAAGCGGCCGCATCACGTTCCGCCGCCCTTGCCGGACCCTTCGACACCGCTGGTGGTTGTGATTGTGGTGATGATGGCGGTGGCGGTGGCGATGGCGATGGCGATGGCGATGGGCTATCCTGTGCTGTAAGGAGGGCGTCAAGCTCTGCTTCGAGCTCTGCCGTCTCTCCCTCGTCTTGCCCAAGAAGGGCGCCGTCTTGGCCTAGCGCGGTGCCAACTGCCTCCGCCTCGGCCATCTCCTGATGGATCATGATTGGTCAACGAGGCGAGAGAGAGAGAGAGAGAGAGAGAGAAACGTTGACAGAAGAAAAATGAACCACACACCCCGCCTGTAGTTTCGTGGTGGAAGTCCGTATATATTATCGGTGAAAGTCCTCAACCGTTACCGGGAGGGAGGTCGACTCGAGCTTCGAACACGAACCCCTAACCCTATTACAAGACTGCAATGGAGGACTATTGTTGTCGAGACGAGGTGCCCTCTCGTGACTGACCTGAACAAAAAAAAAAACGATCGAATGGACGCGCGGGGGGGCGATGCTATACACTGCCAGTCCACATGAACATGCACAACATGGTTCAGAAACGGAGATAAAGAGCACAACACAAGCAAAAACGGTCTTCCTCTTCATGTGTGACCCATGCTCCTACGCCCGAAACGAAAAAGGTGTTAAAAATCGACGTCCAGCAGATTGAACGGGGACGGCATTGACAACACGCGGATGGGGGGGGGGGGGGGGGGGCAGCGTTCCAGGGGTGATGCACTGCTGTTGGGTGCCACGGCCACCGCAGGAGGACAGAGGAACCGCCCAATTGATGCAAACAGGAGATCGATCAGGCGGAACTTACTCCAAGTCACGCACCTCCCCCGCAGAGCTGCACCGAAACACCGGTATGGTATCGAAGCCAAACAACGCCCACGGGGGTTCATACGTTCATACTCCTGGTGCGATGCGTGAAAATCGTCTCGGGATTGACCTCGTACTCCGGTGACAAGCAGTGGGAGAGGGGGGAGGGGTAGCATATCGAACGGGGCCTCTACCAACCACAGTGGGGCCCCCACCTACATACCCAATCCACCCCGACTCACGCACACTACCGATCAACCCACCTTCTCACAACACAAGCCACCTCCGGCAAGCAGCCATGGCGACAACAAGTAACCAAGTCTAAAGCCTCCCCGGCAGCGGGCGCCGTCTTACCTCTGCCAGCGCATCCAGTGTGTTCTCCACCCTCTCCACCGTCAGCCCCTGCGTCTCCCTGCAGGCCTTGAGGGCACTCGTGGCAGCCTCGTGGGCCTCCAGCACCTGCTTGTCCAACCTCAGCTGCTTCACCTGTTCTCGTTTGATCGCGACAAACGTAATTGCAATGTCGTGAGGCCGTCCGTGTAGTTCACGATGCTCGGAATCAGAGTCGAAAAAACAAAAACAATACGTTCCTCCTACAGTACCGCGGTGGAAATACACCTATCATCTACGAGCAGTGTCTATCTCCGTAATCCATCCAGGATGTTCGTTCGAGGGAAAACAGGGGGCGACCTATGAACGCTGCTCGGCATAATAACTCCCGAAGCTCATGAAGGAGCTCGGCTCTGGTCTGGGATTCCGAGAAACGCGTTGCTGGGAAGGAAGTCAACCCGCCAGATCGAAATACAATTTCTCTCTCCGACAAAACACGCATTACAGAACTCCTCCGACCGACCACAATCCCGTGTTTATCCCCACCTGATCCAATGCCGTTTCCAGCGTCAAGAGGGAGGAGAGCCGCTTGTCCCTAGCGGCCTGGTACTGCTTCATCCTCCGCAAGTGCACCAGCGCCGCCTGCTTCTGCCCCCGACGGTTTTCCATCAGGGCGTCCTGCTGTACCCGCTGTATTCGCAGTCCTAGATCCGATGCGCTCGCTTCTAGACTAGCGACTGCTTAGGGTCAGTCACAGTTACACTTAGGGTTTAGGGATCAGGGGTTCAGACAGGCATGATTTATATGTGCGTCGTTGAAGGAGAAGGCAAGGGGATTTAAGGGTTGAAAGGTTCGGAAGCAGATATTTGCTGGGCTAGAAGTGCTCGGGATGATACGTGGCTACTTACTGCATGGGTGGGTTAGCCAGAAAAAGAATGATGCACGTATTGGTGAAACTAGCACTGCTGGTAGGCTTGACGTTAGGGCCCGCTCCCAGACACATCTACCGAGTGCTTGGTACCCCCGTGGCAGTATTGGCGTTGTCAAGGATCCGATCTACACATGAAAGACCAACGGTCGTCCACGAATTTTTCGGCCGGTGGTGGGAACGCGCTTGGCGACGAAGCACCGCTTCAAGCGTAGTTGAAATAGTCCACGTAGGACCATGGAGCACACCGCTGTTTTCTAGCCAGAGCCATGTGTAACTTGGAGGCACAAACAACAGGATTGGCGGGAGAGACCAGACCAAACACATTTGGCCAGGAAGACACGCTGGCTTAGGAAGACAGCGATCACTTGCTGGCTTTGGACCGGGCGGGCACGCAGGACAACGCATGGGTCGACATGTGTTTCTGACCGCCGTCCACCTGGCATGCGTCTGTACTTCCGGACTAGTTGTTGGGGCCCGTAGGAAAAATCGGGTAGGGTACCTACCTAAGGGGAGCCGTGGACTAAACAATCTAACGAGTTCGCAACCAAAATCATGAGAGTTTGCATAGTTGATATGTAAAAAAAAACATTGCCGTTGAAAGATGGACCTCTTACCGGTGCACCGAAGCCGCAGCAAGTCTTTCTCTGTCTCAGACACAGTAGCCGCTGCCGCCGCCACCCTACTCCCCCCACCCCTAGAGAGTACTTTCAGCAGCCCCCCCTCCGTCACGGCGCGCTTCGTGCGGACGAGGTACTTGGCAAAGAGAGCGACGTCATCGCTTGATATTCGCGCCAGCATCCGGGGCACAGCGGATGAACATTTCTCGGGGGTGGGGGGGGCACGACCGCTAGCTACGCGTGTCGCAGTCGTGGTGGCAGCGGCTTCAGAAGCAGCAGCCCGACAAAGCTGCTCGAAGTTCCAGGGCGACGCATGCTGCGCAACGGGGCGGCTTGCTGCCGTCTGAAAGAGCATGAGAAGCAGGAAGCAATTTGCAATCGATTTTCGGCGGGTTAGAGAGAGAGGGAGAGAGGGAGAGAGAACAGTTGACAGAAGAAAATGAACCACGCAGCCGGATATGTAGTCTACGAATATGTACCCGTGGTGAAAGTCCTTAACCGTTATCGGGAGGGAGATCGACTCGGGCTTCAAACACGAGAAATAGGTAGAGGTGGAGAATGAGGTAAAGAGAAAGAGAGCAAGAGGTGGAGGGGAGGTCTGGCATCGTCTGAGCGCCTCGATTTGCATTGGTAGAGTCGGCCGCCCGAAAAAACAAGAAAATTCCAAGACAAGTAAAAGGAAAACTAACAACTTACGGGTATTCCGCACGCCCCACACGTGCAGGCAAGACACACAGTCTCAAAAGAGGAAAACCTCTGGTAGCAAAAAAGCTACATACCACAAGCTGCTCGAGTCGCCAACCGCCATGACTCGCCACCGCGCAGCGGGTTCAAGGCGACACATGGACAACCGCAGCCGAAAGTTCAGACAACACAGAACTGCCATTGGTGATACACTGTTGTGACGGTGTCTTGGCGAGGGAGTGACGACAGCATCCCAACAGTGGTGGGGGCCTGCTCGCTTTGGGGGCGCATCAAGACCAATCATTCTTGTTTCTAATTTGAGCGTCGCATGTACAGGCTACATCATCACATGAACAGCAACTTCTTCACAACCCCAATCTTGCCACTGTGGGTGAACCCAGCGGCGGGCAGAAAAAGCTGGGTATGTATAATTCCCAACGTGCTCATACGTATCACTTGCCTCGCTGTGAACGGCCGCTAGCAAGTAGACGGTCCTCTCGTCTGGTGGCAGGTGTTGACAGTACCCCACCACTTGTTCCGCTAAATCCTCAAGAACGTTCCTGATTCTCCCGATGCGGAGAGGACGGAGCAGCAACACAAAAAGCGTCACCACGGCGTAAGAACCTGAGAGCAATGAAATTCAGGCTGAACCCACTATCAGCACGCTTGACCGAAGGAAAAGGTCGTCGGGTGAGACCCCTACGCTACATAGTCGATGTTGGGTTACCGTCAAGAGGAAATAGGACACGAGCCTCGGGGCGAAGTACGAGGTTCTTAGGTGGTGGGGCCTTCTGTGCATCAAGAGGGCACAGGCGCCGTCGGTGTGGTGGGCGTGCGAGCTCGTGTCTATGTGCCTGTGGGAACGAGCATCACTGTCTCGAGGGCCCCCAGTTATCAGTCGTGGCGACGAGACAGAACAGCGAGTGTCTCCTGTTGACTTCGAAAGCCATACAGAACGCAGATCAGCCAGATTCAATTGGCACTCTCGGTTGAATGCGTGCGCCTCCCGTCTGCCACACACTGATGTTGGGCCATGTCATTCGCCCACCGCAAACGCCTTGAAACGCTGCTGCAAAAACCAAAGATAGAGCGAGGGGTCGGTTCTTGAGCTAGGCCAACCCATTCATGCCCTTCGTGCATATTTTCCGTCTTGCGGGCCCTGCGAAGCTCTCTCTTCCGAAGTGCTCTTTTTCTCCAGCGAGGGAGAGCACACGGGTTGCTATTGCGAGCAAACAAGAGCAGCCTAGCTACATGTGCAACTAAGGAAGACGACGGACAAAAAACAAACCAAGCTGCTATCGTCGCACCTGTTGGCGTACTGCCCCCCCCCCCCTCCCCCCCCCAGACCGACCATTCCGGCCAAGTACATGATGGGGGCCATGACCAAGCGCCTCGCCAGCCCAGTCTCCGCCTCCTTCAACACAGACGAGACATGAAACACGAAACATGAAGTCCAAGATCAATGGCACATCGAAGATGAGGACAAACAACGATACGGCGGACTGTTGTCTCTTGCGGCCGAAAATCGTAATCCCGCTGCCCTCACAACAAAGCAGTTTCATCATGTATATGCCAAACCTGCGTACGTGTGCACTAGCGTAACGCCCGGCACGCGTGAACGGACTGCTGTCTATTGTGGCGCAACATCGTAATCCGGCCGTCCTCGAACGATAGATAGAACCAGCTGTAACATAGAGTATGTAACATGCCGAATCTACGTACATCCGGTCGCCCCGGTGAAAAGGTTGTCAACCTTGTAACCTTCACGTTCTTGACTCTCCGAGGATGTCAACCATTTAACCGTAAACTTTTTGACTCTCCAGAGCTCGGGTTCGGTTCTCTCTGAAGTGCAAACTCGAAACTAAAGCTCATGAGTAAACGCAAAATGAGTGTGAGTTTTTCGTGAGCGACATGACCACAGGCAAAACAGAACGGGTCTCAGGCGTGCGATGACCATGGGGCAAGCACCGCATGAGGGACGGTGGAGTCTCCAGTCTGTACCGTTTACAATCCACAACTCCCGCCGGTTGGTGCGCTCAAACTTATGAACGAAAACACACACACACATCAACACCTATATCATGTGGTATTTGCCATCATCTATGGGTATGTACTGTACAGCAAATACACCAAACACGTGTTCGTAGTAGACTCCACCATCTAGCCTACCACAACCTACGCCATCGCCATCTACACTCCGTATTTGATAACAAACAATCACAGCATTTTCTTTGATGACCGACGAACACAGCCGTTACTCACCACAATTTCGCTGCGTTCCAAAAGCTCTCCAGACGAAACCATGTGTGACATCGCAAGGTCCAACCCAGGAGCAACCACGCCTCCCCAGTCCAGCGAGCTCGTCGCCAACACCTTGGAGTCGAGGGACAAGCAAGCCGCTTTCTCGAAGGCGTGGGCTACCACCCTCGACCAGAACTCGACCATCTCATCTCGGGCATCAACATCGCCCGGGGCGACATGGGATGTCAGGAACTCCATCCTTTCTTCGTCTTCCAAGTCGGCAGCCAGAGGGCATGCTGGTGCCAATTCCGCGCCCGCGCCCGACACGGCGCAAATTGGACAAGAGGACGGCATACTTGCTTATTGCTTGTACACCGGACACTCTCAGTTGTATGTAGCAGACCGGACACACCTCGCTCACGGGGAATCTCCGTCAGGTCTCAACGCTGCTAATTGAGCCAAATTATGAAAAGTCGAAGCGAATACGCCAACATGTACCTAGAGGCCTAACGGTTGTCTCTCAGAACGTGAGACTTCAACGCGGCGGCACGGCGGCAGCGCTGCAATGAGTGTGCACAAGCGTGAGGTGCTTGAGTTCTTCCTTTCACAGTACCAGCGGAAACACGCCGCATCTTCGTAGATGCGGAGTTCGTATCGATTTTTTGTCCGGCCGTTACACTTTCCGTCGCAAAGAGGGATCCAAAAGACGAGAGCTGGCTCACATGCGGTACGTTGCGGCATTGGCCACGACAGATGGAACGGTGGAGCACAACGCGGTGAGTATGTCAGCTTTGCCTCCATGGTGTATTTGCCAGCATCAACGCCGCAGAACGTCTATACCCATAGTTCACGAGGTCGCCCTGGCCTATCGTGTGTCAGCTATCGGACCTGCAAGCGGTGATGCAGCAGTACTGCTGTAGTCAAAGCTGACATCGCACGCATGTTCCGTGTAGAGGCTTACAGCACAACGCCTGGACGTGTAGGCCTTACACCATACAGCATCCTGAAGAAGTAGGAGTCCAGTAGGATACCTAAGTATCACCACTACCCAGCCCTTGTGACACAATATTTTGAACGTGCTCAGTACACATGTGCTACCATGATCGTTCTTTTGATACCTCCTGTAGCACAAACGATGGAGTCCAAAGGTAGCTTTGACGAAGGAAAACGAGAGGGGAAACATGCCGATGAAAAGGGCTACAACGATTGGGACGACGGTGGGAAAGAGATTGACAGCGACGACGAGGTGAGTTGCAGGTCACGTTGTTGCGTCGAGAAAAAAAGCAACGAAGAGACAGCGGAACAATCCGAACATTCAACGGTAGTCCGCAAGGGAACGTTCCAAGTTCAAAAGGTTTTCAACCCGGCAATCTCGGATTCCAGAACTAAATCATGGAGCTTTCGACCTTGCATGGTACAACCTTTTGCTTTCAGAAACACATAACACGGCATAGATAGACCGCCCGTTCGAGATAAATCTCAGTTCTGTTGTTCGAGATTCACCATGATGATAGCTGCCACCCGGAATAAACCTGTTTCAGGAGAATTTGACTCGTCTTAATGTTTGGAGTTGAGCTCCAGCTGATACGATCTATCCCCCACTATGGTGGTATCGACTTGTGCCCACCGCTGCGTTGTTAGGTGGAGGCGGAATACCAAGCGGCACTAAACAAGGGCAATGTCGGCAAGGTAGCCGTCTCCAAAGATCCACAAGCCAAATCGATCGTCAGAGGATTCAGAATGTAAGAGAGAAAGGAAGAGAGGGAGGGAGGGAGGGAGGGAGGGAGGGAGGGAGGGAGGGAGGGGGGGAGAGAAGTGGGGGGGCGGGGGAGAAAGATATCTCGCGGTTTCTTGTCGGATGATGCCTTCCTTGACTCAAAGGCAGGCCAGTAGCTTAATACGTCAGTATTGTTCAATGGCGGCATTAACGGCTTTTTCTGTGGTGTTCGGTTGGGCGAATCGTCCGCAAATCTAACCGATCGTGAAGGTGCTCTTTCATCCTCCTCCTACTATATATCCCGCACAACTTCTATATACTGTAGAAACGGCGATATTCATCACGCTATCCAGACCGGAGTTTGCTTTCCGCCCATCGGCGTGGTATGAGAAACCATGATTCAGAAGTTGGCGATAAGTTGTCCGCGGACATAGAACGGCAAAAAAAATGCACTGATTACGTATGGGCGGGAGTTGTTTGCAAGTCTACACTACAACCAATCCATACGATATTGACGATTTCGCGGATAAACCATCGCAGAGAGAGAGAGAGAGAGAGAGAGAGAGAGAGAGAGAGAGAGAGAGAGAGAGAGAGAGAGAGAGAGAGAGAGAGAGAGAAGTGCTAACCCCTGAAAGGCCCGGCCTCGACTACTCTCACCTCTACATGCAACGATCAGTGGATGCACATGCAATCTGATTCCTGGAGTCATTTCCGCGGCGGGAACGCAGTTGAACTGCTCTGGAAACTTCACTGGTGCTCATTGCTGGTCTGTGTAGTAGTCTAACTGCAACATTTAACTGCAGAACGTGGACACTCATATTTCTGCGTGTTCCACCCCGCCCTTCGGACAGAAATTGGATGGACATGCGAGACGCCGACACAGCTCGCCTCTTGTGGGAGTCGGGAGAGTGGTGAGTTGTAAAAACTTATGACGCAAGGCTGTTCCATACCACGTGTGCCGGGCAAAGGGTATTGATGGGGAGATATTATGGGGAAGCGCAGATATTTATCGATAAACTGCTCTGGAGTTGCTCAATATAGGAATCATGTGCCAGGGGGGTCACCTTCTCTTCGCAAACGAGAGCCGCTGTTTTTTGGGCAGGTCTCAACGACTGAACGGCGTTCTCCAACCTGAACTGAGACTTTTTTCTATCCCAACAACTATGAAAAACGTTCACCATGTGTTTTTCGTATACGTCTCGTCATCGCCCGCGGGCGGGGAGTCGATACAAGAAAAAATGGTGCTGCTGGTGCTCCTGCGGCTTGGGTGGGAGTTCCGGCACACGAAGCCTCCGCGCACTTCATTGCACGTGATATCTTGGGGCATTTGGATCGATATGTTGCCTGGAGTTCCCCCAAAGTGTTCTCGACGATGGTCTCATCGGGTATGAACTAAACGAGGGTGTGTTCGACATAGTTACTGTGCCCAGTTTTGTACCACCCGCTTCCGATCCGAAAGGGGCAAGGACATGTACCACCACGAGCTGAAGGCGACCGTCCCCCGACGAATCCTAGAATGCTCCGCCGTTTCAAGGGAGATTAACTTCACGTCCCAGGAAGAGATACGACAGTTTCGGCTGGAGCAGAGAGTGTTCTTGGCCGGGGCATGCATCGAAGGTGGGGTTGCGTGCAATATTCTGTTCGTGATCGTGTTTCATTTGGGGTGTCAGTATTTGTATATTCCTCCGTGAAGACACGGCTTGTCGGAGACGGGTTTCTCGTGTTTCTTTCCTGCATGATGAGTTCGTTTCTGTCTCTATCGCAACAGCATCGCAGGGGGATTCCCTCATGAAACCGCCGCTACATCAGCAATGGTACTGATTACAATGGGCCAGGTTACACATTTGTTTCGACACAGTTCTACGTTGTGACTGCCTTTTGAGCCTAAGCTCGACGAGTTTCCCCTCGGCCTTGCAGTGGTGCAAGGTCCACAAGTGTATACACAGAACACTTCATAATGCCGCTGAGTTTTCCTCGCGTCCCGCCCGCAGAATGGTTTTTCGACTTTGGCTTCGTCATTCCGGGATCAACCAACTCCTGGCAACAAACGATCGAGTCGGCTGGAGAGGATCGAATGCTAGCTGCAGAAGACCTGAGGTATGACGCCGCTTTCTTGCTGCTAGTCGGTTTATTAGTCTCTCTAGGCTATGCCTCAGAGAAACGAACTGTGACGTCATGTAGATATCATCAGTGTCTTGAAAAAACACGCAAAACTCGACTCCGTGTTCAGCCTCGATACTGTTGTTACGTTGCGTCTGTCTCTCAACATCATGTTGTACGCAGCGGAAGGATGACGATCGAGACAACGTTCCTAGACGGAAGGACGATGCTGTTCAAGACCCTCGTCAGAATATTTTACGAATAGACCAGTAAACACACTCGGCCACACACTTGGCCACAAGAGGCATTCCGCCTGCTGGGAGGGACCGTGAGGTCACACGGAACGGGTTTCTATGAGACCGGACGAAAATCGATATGCCCTATACTGAATAGCGACCTGATGTTTCGATTGGAACTACAAGTCGAAGTGGCTGATCCTAACATAATAGTGGATTGCTCGAGCTGGAAGATACCCTTCATTTAATTGAAGCATGCGTCGCCGGAAGTCAGCAGGCAGTCATCCTGAGGACGAACGGAAGAAGACGGGGCCTTTGGAAATAGAAGTGGTACCCAAGTGAGAGTCAGAGGACCATAAGTTGTTGATGTTGTTGAGCTACCTTAACGTACCGTATTGATGTGTGTACAGCGCTTGGTGGTGAAGGTATAGAGGAGAATATGTAGTCAACGGACAAACTTCCTCCTGTCGGGGGATAAGTGGCTACAAGTTATGTACGATGGCTTAAAAAGGTTGACGAAAGTCATTGTTACTAGGGTGCAGAGACGGGGGGAAGAGAGTGTTGCACTCTTCTCGCATCAAAATTCGAGGGCAAAGCACCGCAGGAGGTTGGGTAGCGGGCCCCGAAGAGGAACCGTTTTGTGTGACCACGGGTTGGAGTAAGCGGCACAAATGCTGTAAGCGCTAACTTGAAGTGAAGACAAAAAACAAAGAAAATACGCCGTCCACTCCAAGGTGGAACAGTCACTTCGCCTGCCGGTGGCAACCGAATAGAAACGAATCCACTACACAAAGACGGTCAACGGGTACACGCGATCTGACGAGACGCCGGGCCATACAGCCACGTGTCCACTCCTCTCGAGAGAGAAACAGGGAACGAAGCACAGGAAACACGACTTCAATGTGCACCCGGGGCGACCTTTCTGCACTATTAGAGGCCGCTCGCCCCAGTGGGACAGTTGTAACACAGTATTTTTCGTCTGCAGGTGGCAACAGAGATTATTGTAGACACAAAATCAAAACATCAAAGACAGATTCAACGTGTAATCTGCACCACATATCTTGGGGAGAACTCGAGCCATGCACCCACTGTTCTCACCCCTCCAGCAAGAAACAGGGGATGAAAGGCTACACGACGGCATACGCGGACCCGGGGCGAGCTATCTGCACCTTACTCTTGCACCAAGTGCCAACGCAGATGCTTGTGCCGTCGATGATTTGTTGACCAAAATGAGCAACTCTAAAGCCTTTCGACCAAACCATTCGGCGGTAATTCTCCCAGCCGCCAAACTATTATAATACAGTCTCACCCTAAGCTTTCAGCAGCAACATCGACCGTTGAACACAATTGAAACACTCTCTACAAGAAACTTGGCAACCGAGCCGTTGGGCGATAGTTGTCACAGCCGTCGGTTCACCCTGCCAACATCTCTTACAACGTCCCATATACTTCCAGCGAAAACCACGGCCAAAGCCACCCTGTCGCTTGCATTTGACTAACCTCCAACATCGTCGGGAAGGACACCACATGACAAAAAACCAAGGCACGGACAGAAAGGACCACAAGCCAATATCTACAAAAAATACTACACGTGCACCTCGGTAGGCCAGCTTGTGCCACAAGCCCCAACCTTTGGAAAGTACTCGCACGCGTAGATAAACCAACAATCTTCTATAACTAAGAACCCGTCTCCTACTGCTATGGGTAGCTACGTAGCAACCAATCTCGACGCGCATCGCATCACTCATTACCAATCGCAGAGGCCGAAACTGTCAAATGCTACCAGTAGCGTACGCACGAGGCGTGTGTCGCCGCCATGTCGACCCTTCACCAGTTCCGAATCTTACCAAGGAACCGCAGCGCTGTTGCACAACGAGACGTGGTTGGCGATGCCGTGCGAAAGCACGATGCTTCCCCTGCTGCTCGCCCCCCATACCGATGCCTATCGCGTCTGGTAACATTGCAAAACACATCGCGGTTCCCTTTGAGGAAAGCCGAATAGTCCCCACGGAAGGCCATTGCGCGTTTGGATCAGTTACGTCTTGAGGACGGCTCGTTCTGTATTGAGACGCGGAAGCTGAAATTTCCACCGAGATTCCTACGCAGAGGGAGTGACGAAGAGCGCCAGCCCTCCGCGCTCGCTCCTCTGCCACCGCCAAGCTCTCAAAATATCTCCGACAGGAAGAGTTCTTCCAAGAAAGTGTTCAGGGTAGCGCGTTTGTTTGCTGCTGCTCAATACTGCAGCCCGAACTCAGTCTTGTCGAGGCTGATGCACGAGTCTCTGGCGTGTCCGTGGATGCCTTCCCTCAGCAGCGCTACAAGCCTCGACACGTTCGACGTGTACGTGCCAACAAACACGCTGCCGGCCGCCAACATCTTCAGGTCGGCGAACACCATCACAAACCCTTGGTAGCCCTGTAGGGAAGGGGGCGGGATCCGCGCAAGGTGCGCACCGTCACGCACTTGACAACCCAAGAGTTATTTGGTAATCCCTATCCCCATCCCCATCCCTCGAGCGCTGGATGTAAAGGCACCGTAGATACCATCGCATTTTGCCATCTAGGTTTCCCCGTTTTTTTCGAGAACACATGCTCCTTTATTTAGGCGGCCATATGCCCTTATTGTGGACTCGACAAAATGCCCAAAGCTATCATTTATGTTCGCTTTTTGGGCCAATTTTGCTAGATTCGGCCAAGCATGCCTGATTCATGCCCAAAACTTCGATATACTCCATGATTTTTGACAACCGAGCTATTGGGGAAGGCCCATCATGTAGTCATGTGCTCCCCGGACGTAAGCAGGCTCGACAGCCTCAACTGGGGTCCGGAATGGGCATCAGACCATGGCTTTTTTCACCAGGAAAACTGTTGGCGCTCAACTAGCGGTGGGCATGTTCCAAAGTCGAAAACGGCTTCATTGCAACGCTCACGTTCCCAAACGTGATGAATCGATACCGGCCTTCTCAGCACGTCACGCTCTCGCAGCACAACCCTATCGTCTCAACCGTCACATGTCATACCTCAGACTTTGTGTGCGTAGTCACCGCGCCCCCACGAGCCCCACCAGATACCCACACGATGTCCTCGTCCAAGACGTTAGGGAAGTATTGTCGAGCGATGGAGCGGACCTCTTCTACGACATTGTGGTCGTCAGACGCCACCCAAATGGCTTTCATGTCTTGCTTGTCTTGAGACGCTTCATTGTCGAAGAATCTCGCGGCCGCAGACAGGTACTCCTGCCATCAACGTTCCGACCAAAAAAACGAGTGGTAAACGCTTGCCCGAACGGATCGTGCGCTTGGAGAAGGTTTCCTGCTCCGTCGAGGGGTGTTTGGCATCGTTGTGTTGCTTCGGTGTTTGTGTCAAGGTTAGCGACATCTGCTTTGTTTCCGGCGATACTGGTGTTCTCCCACTGTCGAGGTTCTGCTATTTGCGGCGAATATCAATGGGGAATGAAGCCCGTTGTGGATCCATTCGAAACAATTGCAGCATTTTTCGTCCAAGCTGTCAAGTTTCTATACTCCTAGACTACTTTTGTTTGTAAACAAAAGAAGTAGGGGCAAGATCGAGGGCCTGCCTCAAGAGATGGCAGCTTGGTGCATTTACGAGTCTGCTCGGAGGCAGCACACTGTGATACTCACGTAGGTGCCGTACAGCTAGGGCCTGTACTTAATAAACTCTTTACTTTGGCCTAGGCTCGTTTCTTATCTTGTCTATGGGGCATGTATCCCCACAGCGGCGATATAGGTTGTAGTGTAGGACTGAACACCTGTTCTTATGGCCAAGTTCATAATTTTGTTTCGGACATTCTGAGGCTCAAGTTCTTAACTGCCAAGTTCGTAAGCGCGGGCTGGTTCTGTAGTACTGCTGGATCCGTCGCAATAGTTGGAACTTTTTCAGGCGGGGTACGCCTGGATCGTCCACACTCTCGTTGTCCACTCATACGCAACTTCGTTGGAAGGTACACACAAAAATCGCCTGTGTATCGTCCTCCTCTGATAGATTCAACTTGATGAACAACATTGCTCTGGTTGCGTCGAAGAGTTCTTGGCTCGCGCGAGACGTTCGAACGAGAGTCGCGTCACTGTTTGGAAAAACTATGAATCACCGAAATGGCAGCTCTTGAAGACTCCCCCCCCCGTTTTTTCAACGGTTACGAAGACAAACCTCAATCGCGAACGCCACATCCGAACCAAGTGCTCTTCTTTGCACTGGTTTCTGTCATACGGTTTCACCACGGTGCAGCGTTGACCTTCATTTGTCAACGGCAAGCCTGTACACACATCGTTACCGTTCAGAGCGCGCCTCGAATACGGCCCACCTTGGTCTCCACTTTTTGCGCCTCGCCCTGCGAAACTTTGTCCCCCCTTCGGACGTGTAGCCCCACGAACGGCTTTCGTCTGAAAACGTCTAGGTCGGGCCGTTCGAGCGCCTTGCGCACGTCCTCTTGTAACCAGGGCGTCAAGTTCTTCCACAACAGTCTCGCCATGACCTGCGTGTCGGGGGCAAATAAGTCTCTTAGGGTGCTATCTTCGCGGTGCTGAGTGCGCCGTTGTCAAGTCTTCGCACCCTGCATGCAGGAAGGAGAGTCTCAGCTTCCTTGTCGAGTCATCGTCATGTTGCCTCTAGATGCTCGTATCTTCGGCGTCTTTTGCATGGCCGGGACAACGCTTCTCAGTCTCTGGGCGACATGTCTCAGTCTCAAATGCTAATTGGGTGTGGATCACACGGCAACGAAAGTACATGGAGTGCCCCCTACGGCCAGCGAAAGGCCAACGAGGACATCGTCCGGCCCATCCTACATGAGGACCCAGGGCCTGGGGACTTCTATCGTGCACGACACAACCGCAACACAATCCTAGAGCCCCTGCCCTCGCGCAGGGTACGGCCAGCAACGAACACGAATGCCCCATAAGAGCAACGGTCCTTTCGACAGCTACTGCTGTCTCACCGACAGGGCTCCAAAGGTGTCCACCCCGTATTCCTTTAGCGCCTCCTCCTGTGCGCGCCAAGCCTGCCGGCTTCGGATGCGCTGCCAGTGCACCTTAGGGGCTTCAACGAGGTCTTCCTTTGACACCCCCTTCCTCGTCATATAGTTTTTCCACTCCTGCAACAAGGAGAAAGGTCGGGGCTGCCCGATAAACACATGAGGTGCCGTTTCGGCAGGGTCCCAGCCGATACACTCGGGGGGCGGTTCGAGAACGTGTTCTAGAAGCCCACGGCGAGCAGACACCTACCGTCGTGGGTGCCGAACGCGGACACTTTGTACCAGAACTTTCTTTTCGTCGCTCGCCTGCGAACGGTCTCGATTCGAGGGGTCAAGGCTGGCGGTCTTTCCTCGAGGCCTCCTCTCGCCCCGACTCAATCACGACGAGTCCCCAACGCCTCACGCAACGGTGATTATCCTGACCTCTACGCCACTCTCATTTCACCGCAATTATGGGAGTACTTAACAAGCCGAAGACAAACCTTGTTCCAGAGGAGGTCAAGGTTCGTGGGTTCAAGTCCGGGCGCGGCGCACTCTCAGCAAAGCGTTATGTTGTGTCCACACAAGGTGAGGCTAGGTTTTTTTGGATAACGGAAGAGGAACAGTTAAACCTTCTGGCCAAAACATTGAACGCGCGCACAGCCGGTGAACACTCCTCTGTGCGTTTCCCAGGATCGTAATATCCTTAGCAAACATGGACAGACCTGCAGGCTAGGACAAAAGATACTGAGAGCCTCCCATGCAGCGGTAGAGGAACACAAGGGATTCTGTATTCACTTCGTATCTCGACCTTTTCGGTCCCAAAGTTGCAAACATGTGGCATCGGCCTGAAGAAGCAGTGGTACCCCCTGAGCGATTGGCCCTGGTCCCCCTGACACTGCAAGAACTTCAAGGTCCCGGGTGGGGACATGACAGCCACGTCACTCCACTTGTTCACGGTCAGGGCGTACACGAAGGCGTTCAGCAAATCTGCAACCGCGCAGGGCAGAGAAAGGGAACAGCCGAGATGTTAGGTTCTTCCACAACCTTGGGTGTGTACAGTCCTGGGATTGAAAACGACTTGTGAGCGCATGTCGTGAAGAGGCTGGAGAATATGTCCCCTTCGTCTGCCAGATGCGGCGTGACTGCCGACTCTTCGATAACCTCTCTGTAGGGCACACAGGAAAGCATCCGGCCGCTTCGATTCCTTTTAATGTGCTCCGTATGTACTCCCAGCGCGGCAATCAAAACGTGATTTACGCCGAGGCCTGAGACGCCGGAAACTCCGGTTGGCGTTCCCTTGCCTTGGGGACGTTGTTGCGTTCATGAGGGTGCTGTGCACCAGGAGACTGCTGACAACATAAAACAACAACGGATGCAGATCAAGACAAAGTGCCAGACCTATACCACACAGCGGAGACGTTCGGGTTCAGCCTTGTTCCGTGTACTACAATAACAGTGTCAAGACAACTGGGGAATGACAGTCCGGGTAGAATATCGCCGTGTTGCCCGGAATCAATACCTACCGGCCGGTAGCGCCTGAACCAATAACACCCAAAACGTTTGCTTAGTCCGGGGTCCAAAAGTGTCTACAGCAGCAGCACCGTTTTCAGCAGCCACTCACGAACGATGTTGGATCCCAACCCGCAGGGCCTCCAGTAGTACCGTTTCCGCCCCAAGTCGCACCCAACGTGCCCCGATGCATACATCGCCTCCCACTCCCTCGAAAACAGCCCCGTCGAGTTGAAGTGGTTATGTCTCTCCTCCACACTCCCGAGAACGTGGCCATCTGCGTGTGCCTCGACCCCTATGGTCGACAGGTGCGGCGTTCCCGTCAGGGCGCGGAAATGCTGCAGCAGAAGAAAAATGATGGCGATGCTTTTGAAACCCACCCTCCTTCTGCACAGCGCCATCATCCTTCCGCACGGGACACCCAGCAGGGGCCAATTCCTGATTCTTGGGAGCCGAGCGGGGGGGGCGGGGGGGAGGGGGTGTACTCATATTCATGCATGCCGTAGTCGTTAGACCATTGACCTCGAATCCCTACGAAGCCGGGACGGAGCACGCCGGGTTCTCACCGGACCAGGCTCTCACACCACCAAGCGTGAAGCGCCGTGAGGTATTCGCCGAGTCGCATGAAGGGTGCGTTGCATCCTGCTAAGGGTGTTCGGCATCTTGTGCTTACTTTTTTGCGTACGGATGACAGCTGCGTATGACTTAATTTATTTTCTGGTGCTTTCACTTCCGGAGACAGTTAAGAGCACTCGTGTAACTGCCTCGAGGATGCTTGGCCATTTTAACACAACGTGGTACGATCATCCCCTTTGCGCGGAGTGAGGGTTCTCGACCCCGCACAACACAATCTTCTCGACCACCATTCATGGTTACCGCAAAAAAAAAACAATGCAAAAAAAAAAACGGTAACCTGGTAGCCAAGCTCACGATGTGACCGGCTTGTTTTACAACATCGCTGCCAAGCGACGAAAACCCAATCCCGATGGCAAACACCGGGGGGGGTGGCTTGTTTGGGGGGGGGGGGGGATAACTCGGTTCGTCATTCATAACTTCCGATCGGGCATCACCAGCCGTGGGACCCCATGACAGGGATGTGGAACACAAACCGACGACGGAGTAACAATCGCCGCAAACTGTAATAACGTCGACGGTGGAGAGCGGACTCATCTGCAATGCATGTGTGAGGTTTCACCGGGGCTCGGTAGCGCGAACTAGTCGGATGTGTCACCGCTGAACCCTTTGCGCAGGGATGGAAGAGAAATGGCAGAAGTCTGTGTTTGGGTGGGGTTGGACATCACACCCGCGTCGGCACGCCACTTCGAGACCACGTTGAGGATGCGGGTGCCTGTAGAAGGATTCAGCAATGCGCCGTAAGCAGCGCGCTCTGTGCATCCCTCTAGGTGGAATGACGTCATTGTCAGCCTACATCGATGAGATGATAGCAGCATTGCACAGCTAGCGAACGACAACCGAATGTGTAGCCCCAACGACCGAGTGTACATGGAACCCGAGGTATGTAGCACACAAACACGGTCGAACGCATGGTGGTAACAGCACGACAACATAAGGTCCGTTCGTGTCTAACCACCCACGTGGAGATTCCAAGGGAATAGGGAATGCAAGTTCCGCATGTACTGCTGCAAACAGAAGTTACACCGGACAAGTCTGACAATCAAATTAATTTGAGTTACTATTTTTCTTTTTCTCCTGTGCATATCCAGACCAAAAACGAAATGCACTCATTGCGAGCAAGAAGGGCATCGACTAAAGCTAAAGCAATTTGGGATGAATTCGGAATGTTAACGAACCTGCCTGTGTTTGTACTTTTCCCCGAGCAACGTGTACAATGTGCAAGGCCCCCCTGCGGGAGATAGGTGGCTTGCCTCCCGGGGGTGACGCAAGAGGACAGGGTCAACGCCATCGCGGTCGCATCGTTGCATCTCAACGTCATGACGTTCGGCAGTAAGTGCCGGTTTGGAAGACAGCCTGCAGAATTTGCCTGGAGTTTTGCGTCATGTGCGTATAGTTTTTTCTCTCTTTTCGCGTGTGTGTGAGAATGTGTGTCTTTCAGGCTCGTGACGTCTTTGTCGCAGGTTCTAAAGCTGTATTCCCCTGCGTTTGATCACTCGCTCTTTATGTATACGCGCGATAGGTCACCGCCGGCCGATTCCACGACATTGCAGAGCGTTTTTATGTACTTTTTTGCGAAGGCTTTCTTCGCGCGGAACACGTCTCCGGCTCTTCACCTCAAACCAGCGCTCACAGCATTAGTGCCCTTTACTCCAACCCGGGGCCACACAGAGCGGTTCCTCTCCCTGGAGCCGCCTACCGACCCCTCCTGCGGTGTTTTGCCTTCGATTCTTAATGCGAGAAGAGCGCAGCACCCTCTTCCCTCTGTGTACACACGAAATAGCGCTTTTCCACCCAGGCCACGAACGGAATCAAGAGAAAAAGTCATTTTGCAAGAAAAGCTCGCTTACGCCGGTATTTAACCCGTGACCGTGGCCACTTTATAGAGGTTCTCGAGGATGCTAACTAGACTACCGGGGCGACCGGCAGAGAGCCAGTTCTGTTAAAATAGATTCGGGCGTCAAGCACAAGTGCCGCTGGTGACTGGTGGTCCTCGGGCGTGCGCGGAAATGTACCGACGACCCCCCTGCGTGCCCCTGAGATGGAAGCGTGAGAGAAGACTCGAATCTGCTAACGAAACACATCCCGAAGCACGAAAACAGGCGAAATGGTACGCATACTAACATACATAGCGCTCCATTCATCGTGTATGTTTTGCAACGGGCTGCAAATCAATCCGTCAGAGTGCAAAGGTGCGTACGGTGTGTTCAACGCGAGACATCGCCGCATTGCCCCCTTGCACGTTAGTACGGGCATACGCCCGCCCGCACCCATGGTCATGTTCCCTGCGGGTATCAACATTACAACTACTGTGGGTATATCTCGAATGAGTAGTCTTTCTGCGTGTGTATTTATTTTTCCTAATAATACTAGGTATAACAGGGTCAACGAGACCGGGCGGCCAGCTTGGGTGTCGGACTACGATCTGGGTGTGTGCGCAGGGAGATGGGTACAAGATGGTTGGAACTGGATGTTGGGATATTTCGGGTTGAAAAGTGGAAATCGGCTACACACGTGTGGACGTTCGCTGTTGAGATTGTGTGGAGATAATAAAACATGCGCATGTTTGATGTTCGGACTATGCACCGCCTGGCACCAGGTGAGAGAGTTCGATATTGGCTGCCTCTGTCAATGGTGTAGATTATGGGGCACAAGAAGAGCAGCTGCAGAAAGCCGTGAACAAGATGGACAAGCGTGTGCTGTGTGTCTCCTAAACGCGGTGCATTTTGTTTGGCTCACATCAGTGTTGCGTGCTTTCGACGCTCACCCTCTCTGCCACAACATGCATGCATGCCCTACTGCTGATGCTGCTACAGCAGTTGCCTCACTGCACGGGAGCGTATGCATATGTATGACATTGAGAGAGAGCATCACGGGGGTAATCGTTCAGTACGCAGGCCTAAGTGCGAACAGCTGGGACCGGCGCGTATGCTGCGGAAACACGCTCATAGACTAATCTCCGCACCAGTGGTTGCTGTGCG